TCCATGGGGAGATCGTTCCAGAGGGCCGGAGCAGCCACAGAGAAGGCCCTCCTCCGGGTGGTCGACAATCTGCATTGGCCGGCAGATAGAATTCGGAGGAGGCCTAATCTGTGGGATCTAATTGGGAGATAATTGGCAGAAGGCGGTCTCTCAAGTACCCAGGTCCAATACCATGTAGGGCTTTATAAGTGATGACTAGCACCTTGAAGCATATCCGGAGACAGATAGGCAGCCAGTGCAGCTCGCGGAGGATAGTTGTAATGTGGGTGTACCGAGGTGCACCCACAATCGCTCACGCGGCTGCATTCTGGACAAGCTGAAGTCTCTGAATGCTCTTCAAGGGCTGCCCCATGTAGATTAATTAATTAATTAAGCATAGGTAACTAAGCATAAATTGCTATAATAGAATTGGTGTGGGCACATCCAATTTTGGGGGGTTAGATCCCAGGAGATGCTCTCCGAATGAATAAAGCCCCTCTAAAAGAATATGGGCTAAGAATAGACTTATGAAATGAAGAAATATATTCTGGTATAACTTTGTAATTTAAATTCAGAAGTCTGAATTGTTCATATCTAAACAACTTGTGGTTTTATTCTTCTCTGTTTTAAAATGTCTACTCAATTTTTTATTTTATTTGGTTTGTGAAATTTAGTTTTTATTTGAAAAGCATTTGGTTAGATAAATTACTAAGTGATGTAGACTTACTCATTGTACTTTAAACATTTTTGTTAGGTAAATAATTTATTTAGAACTGAAATTACATTAGCTTAATCAGAAGAAGCATGGTTTACAATGATAAAGTACCAATTTAAAAAAACTAATCTTAATTCTCCTTTGTTGAATAAGATTCCTATCATTCAGGAAGACATACAAATTATATAAACTATATTAGATGGTTTTGAGAAGGTTGTCAGTGGAGACCTATTCAATAATTCAGAATCTTATTCTATTCATTCCATGCATTCCTTAAATATTTTTTTACTAATATTAATGCTTGTCTTTGGATTCTAGTATGGCTTGACCTAAGAACTCAATCTACTGTTGAAAGACTTCTTAAAAGGATTCCAGGGAAGAATAAATCCTTTTTTAAGGTAAAGGCTGACCTTAGAATAATTAGAGTATGTTTGGTAATTACACAGTGCAAATGATTCTTTTCTTATGCTCATGCTAATGAAAAAAGGAGAATTGATTTAATGTAGTGTTAAAGGTACTAAAGAAACTAGGAGATTGTAAGATATGTGTGAAGCTAACTGGGTTTCTTTGAGTCAGTCACTTTCTTTCAGCTGCAGAAAGAAGGAATGTCAAACCACTCCAAAAACATTCCCAAGGCTGACTTGGATCAGAATGCAGATTGAGTCAAAGCTACCAAAATAATAATAATTAAAGAAAAAGAAGTGGATTAGTAGATTTGTTATTCTGTAGATGTTTACACATTATGACTGATTAACTTTCAACCTTGCAGAGTAGGACTGGTCTCCCTCTTAGCACATATTTCAGTGCTGTGAAGCTACGCTGGCTTTTGGACAATGTGAAAGAGATCAGGCAAGCAGTTCTTGAAGGGAGAGCTCTTTTTGGTACTGTTGATTCATGGTTAATATGGGTATGTATCAATATACAGTATACAATAAATAAAACAATTTCTTTGGTTTCTATACTTCCTCAGCTTATTTTTAACATCCTTAAAAACTATTCAAGAAAAAGTCAAATTTACAGATTACAAATTAACAGAGTTGGAAGGGACTTTATAGGTCATAGTCCAATTCCCCGCCCAAACAGGAGCCCCTACACCATTTCTGACAAATGGCAATCCAATCTCTTCTTGAAAACCTCCAGTGATGAAGTTCCCACAACTTCCAAAGGCAAGCTGTTCCATTGGTTGATTATTCTCACTGTCAGAAAATTTATCATTTTTAGGTTGAATCTCTCCTCGATCAGCTTCCATCCATTATTCATTGTATGGCCTTCAGGTGCCTTGGAAAACAGCTTGACCCATTCCTCTCTGTGGCAGCCCCTCAAACATTGAAACACTGCTATCATGTGGTCCTAGACTAGCCATGCCCATTCTTCATATGTTTTAGTCATCCAATCATCCTGATTGCTCTTCTTTGCACTTTTTCTAGATTCTCAACATCTTTTTTATAGTGTGGTGACCAAAACTGGATGAAATATTCTAGGTGTGGCCTTACTAAGGCTTTATAGGAAGATACTCAGAGATGATTCACACCCTGGTCAGTGTCTCTTTGCACTTCTACCGTCAGGCAGAAGGCATCAAAGTATAGCCAGCCAAACAAACAGGTTTAAAGATAGTTTCTATCCTTGGGCTGTGAGACTTTTAAATACAACCACAATCACTCCATGCACACGCTAGTTCTTTTTCTTTTTCTTTCTTTTTTTCATTTATGTTATAATTTTGCACCAGTGAGGTAAAACCAATTTTGTTGTTTTTAAGTACAATGACAATAAAGATTATACTTATACTTTATAGAATGGTATTAATACCTCACTTGATCTTGATTGTATCCCTCTGTTAACGCAATTTAGGATTGCATTGGCTTTTCTGGCTGCCGCTGCATACTGCTAACTTATATTTAGCTGGTTGTCCACTAAAGACTCCAAGATCTCTTTCACAGTTACTGCTATTAAGCCTGGTTTCACCCAATCTATATGTGTACTTTTGTTTTTTCTTGCCCAAGTGTAAGACTTTACTTTTCTGTGTATTGAATTTCATTTTGTTAGATAGGACCCAGTGTCACAAGTCTGTCACAATCCATCTGGATCTTGAGCCTATCTTTTAATCTGTTAGCTATTTCTGCCAGTTTAGTATTACCTACAAATTTGGTAAGTTCCTCTTCTATTTCCTCGTAGAAGGCGTTTATGAAGATATTAAAGAGTACTGGGCCTAAAACAGAACCGTATCCCATTGCTGGCTTCCTTCCATGTAGATGTAGATGTAGACCCATTAAGGACTACTAGTTGAGTATGGTTTGTCAACCAGTTACGAATCCATCTGGTGGTGATGCTATCTATCCCACTTTTTTCTAGTTTACCAAGAAATAGGTTGTGATCTACTTTTTTGAATGCTTTGCTGAAGTCTATATTATGTCCACAGTATTTCGCTGGTCTACTAATTTAGTCACTAGGTTGAAGAATTAAATAAGATTGGTTTGGCATGATCTGTTTTTAACAAACCCGAGATGATTGCTAGTTATTACTTTACTCATTTCTAGACATTGGTAGATCTATTTTTTATTATCATTTCCAGTATCTTCTTAAATATTGATGTTAGGCTGATTAGTCTATAGTTTCCTGGGTCTGTTTTTTCCCCCTTTTTTGAACATGGGAACCACATCGGCTCTTTTCCGATTCTCTGGTAGCTCTCCAGTGCTCCAGGATTTTTGAAATATGAGGTACAGTGGTTCTGAGATGACATCTGCCAACTCCTGTAGAACTCTGGGGTGTAGTCTGTCAGATCCCAGTGATTTGTATTCATCAAGATCAGACATATGTTCTCTATTTTTTTTCTTAATGTCAGCATTCCAGAAAACTCAAACGCCAGTGAAAAGTCTGAGACAGGTATTTCTCAAAGCTCCCATTTATTAGAGTAGGTATAGAGGCACATCTGGAAAGGGTGTTGGTCCTTACCTGAGACGCCTCTTCTCATAGGGTGGAGGTAGCATCCAGGCTGGGTTGACCTTCATCCATTCATTGCAAGGACTGAGCCTGACAGTTGTTGAAACCATGCCCCTGTCACTAGGCAAAGCCCAGTAAGTCTAAAGCAAAAGTCAGTCACAAAAACCTTATTTACTAAAACCGCAATGAGAACAAGCCCAACAAGAAGTCTTGAACAAAGGAACCAGTCCTGTCTTGGGAGGGGCTGGATGCTACCTTCACCCTATGAGAAGCGGCATCTCAGGTAAGGACCAACGCCCTTTCTCCATAGCAGTGGAGGTAGCATCCAGTCTGGGACGTACCAAAGTAACATTCGTCACCCCGGGAGTGCTTATGACTGGTTCTGCGGAGTGCTTGTCCTATGGACCCGACTGTAGCACTCTTCGGCCAAAAGCTGCATCCGCAGATGCGAAGACATGCAGCTTATAAATCTTGATGAAAGGAGATGGGGTAGCCCAAGTCGCCGCCCTACAAATCTCTGCCAAGGAAGCTTGGGCCGCCCGGGCTGCTGAGGTAGCAGTGCTCCTTGTAGAGTGTGCGGTCAACCTACCTGGAACTGGAACAGAGTGGGAGTGATAAGCTGCAGCTATACAGGCCCGCAACCATCTGCCTATGGTGGTGGATGAAATCTTCCTACTCAGGGATGTCAGCTGGAAGGATACAAAAAGAGACTCTTGATGTACAAAAAAGCCAGGTCCTTTTCAAATAAATCTTTAGAGCCCTCCTCATGTCCAAGGTGTGCCACTTGTGTTCCAAAGGGAGAGAAGGCTATGGGCAGAAATTGGGTAACACAAGTTCCTGAGCGTGGTGGAAGCAGGAGCATACCTTGGGGATGAAGGAGGGATCCAGCCGTAGCACTACACAGTCCTGATGGAAAACACACAGATCTTCTCTTACCGAAAGCGCTTGCAGTTCTGAGATCCTTCTGGCGGAGGTGATGGCCACCAGAAAGGATACTTTCAAAGTTAAGAACCTAAGTGAGACCTCTCGTAGTGGTTCAAATGTGGCTGTTGTAAGAGCGTCAAGAACTCTGGGTAAATCCCATGAGGGATATCTGTGCACCGCCGGTGGCTTAAGGTTGGATGCTCCCTTAAGGAAACTGTTAGGTAAGCTCCCCGTTGGGAGAGTGAGTACATTCAGAGAAGCGTTGTGAGAGTGTTGTTGGAGAACACACAAACCAGCATACAGAGACATTGCAGTTTAAGTAGGCTTTTACTTTTGTGGAAATAGAAGTATCAGAGTCCATCAAACAGTCCAAGTCATACACGGATAAGACAGTCAGTCATCAATGTCTTTCAGTTCAGGGATAATTCAAATAACATAGTCCAGTATCATATAATCAGGACTCAAAGTTTGCTAACAGTTGCAAAACTTACAATAGCTCATGGCACTTTCTAACAGCCAGCTTCCAAAACAGATCAGATCAGATCAGCCCAGCCCAGCATCTAACGAAACAGTCATTCTGGCTCCCTCTTATGGCTGATTGAGGAAAACAACAGCCAATCACATTTTACAGTATGATTTAAAGAAACAGATATAGCATTGTTACATGATTTATATATTGCCAACCCAACCGTTAGATTATATTCCTAACAGAAATGACGCACCGTGGGCTGCTGGGACAGTGAAGAGGTACCCCCACAAGTCAATACAGAAGAAATAGCTGCCAATTGACGTTGGATGGTGTTTGTGGCCAAACCTTTGTCCAAACCGTTCTGGAGGAACTTCAGGATGTGTGGGATAGTAACCTGTTGTGGCCCGGCAGGAGCCGTTGGAGGAGCCGCCAGACTTCGACAGCGAGGGGTCTTATAAGTCGGCCTTGGAGGAGGTGGAGGACCCTGGACAGGGTGGCGACTCGGAGCAGAGTGGGGAGAGACAGGTTGGCCACCAGGTGGCGGCAGAACATTGGATCAAAGGGAATGTTCAGGAAAACATTTGGGAGTTATTTCAGGATGCACGCAGGTGAAGGGCTACTCGACGGAGGGAACAACTGCGTAATTGTAGGAGATGATTGTGCTTAGCTGATGTTGATTAACATCCTCTCCTGAGTATAAAAGAGACTGTTTGTGCTACGCCCTGGTTGCAGGAGTCAGCGTTCTCGTTCACGTTCATGATTCAGAGAAACCAACTTGGAGAAGTGGTTTGCTAGGAGAAGCTTGTTTGTATTGCCTAGGTTTGTAGTAATTGCTGCCAGAGAGCTTATCTCTTTGTTTATTTTGGGCTTGTAGCCAACAAGAGTCTGGACTGATTAAAACATTCTTTTGTACATCTGTTTTGGCTTTCGTTCCTGGATGGAGAAGGGGGCAGGTCAGAACAGTAACCCTAACAAGATCCAAAGTCTTAGCAGCACACCAGGAGCAGAAGGACCTCCAGGTGGAATCGTAGATGTGCTCGATTGAGGGACTCCGTGCGGCTGGATAGTCCAGTTGATCCTGGAGGAGTAGTTGTTCTCCCTCAAGACGCTCCGCTCAATCACCAGGTGGTCAACCAGAACCACTGGGGATCGGGATGTTCCAGCGACCCTTGGCTGAGGGAGATCGAGTCCTGAGGGATCCTCCAGGGCCTGTCCACCGAAAGGGTCCGTAGGTCCGCAAACCAATGTCTGCGTGGCCAGTGGGGGGTGACCAGGATCACCTCTGCCTTCTCTCCCATGATTTTCTGGATGACACAAGGCAGGAGAGGAAGCGGGGGGAATGCGTAAAGGAGACCACCAGCATCTCGGTGCATCCACCTCTCCAACCGCTGCACTGGGAACCGAGAGTAAGACTGCAGGAGCTGAGTTTTGTGGGGGGTGGCGAAGAGATTGATTACCGGCTTGCCAAATCTGTTCACAATGTCCCAGAAGATCAATGGGTGCAGGCGCCATTCAGCACTGTCCACAACCTCGCGGCTGAGCCAGTCTGTCTGTACGTTCGCCACCCCCAAAATGTG